ATAAGGGTCAAATCCGAGGCCAGTTATGCACGTGAAGCCCCCTGCTTACGCCCTGAATCAACATGTTTGATAAAATCGGGCGATCTATTTTGAGTCCGCGCCGACTACAATCGCTAGTGTTTCGGAGTCGGCGAATGAGATTCACCCCGAATGTACAATCATCAGGCTCACATCTCAAACGGTGCAATTTTCAATCAGCGTGACCTATCAATATAGTTGTTTTCATAGACTTAGTGTCTCTATAGTGGCCGCGAGTCGTTTTAGGTCTGGCAGGCGGAGAAAAATCTGCCGATGAATCGCGCTGAAAATCGCCCTAGTGTCTTCCAAGCTATAGATCATGCCCGTGTCCATGGGAGGCGGGGTTGCCACACGGAATTTATATCATTGCTCACTAACACTGCGCCTATCACCTTCTTAACAGCGAGCGATCATAAATAAGCGATTGAACCACCGAAAGCACTATATGCACTCTAGAGATGTTTGACGATTTTTAACTCCTTCACAGTCTCTCCTCTTTCTATAACGCTGCCCTCCTTCTACGGGCTTACAGCACTGGCCGTGACAGCTGTCAGCGACAACCATTGCGTAGGTGAGAAAGACGCGAGAGAGGAGAGAGATGAGAAATGGACGAAGAGAGAGCAGATTAGGAGAGAAAGAGAGAACGAGAGAGAGACAGAGTAGAGAGGGAGACTGAGAGAGAGAGGGCGGGAGAGGGAGAGAGAGGAGAGATAGAGAGAGAGAAGAGAGAGCGAGAGAGAGAGAGAGGAGAGAGAGAAGAGAATGAGATGAGAGAGAGCACGATGGAGACGAGTAGAGAGAGAAGAGAAGAGAGGAAGAGACTCATATGCGCATTATTGCGCCACTTTACCTGACGATTTTCCACAGACAAAAACAAACTGAAACGCCAAATTTCAGGTAGTAAATCAGTTTTATCCTTCGCCGAAAAACGCGCGAGGAGTCTTCATGATAATTGAGCACCTCGTGTGTCGGCAATTAATTAATTCATTAATTAATTAAATAATTAATTGGATCCGGATTAGTGCGAGCGTGTAGGTGGGGGAGGACTGTGGTTGCCCCTTAGCCTGTGGTTGCGTGTTTGTAAGTCTACAGCCAGCGCACCTAGCGGAAGTGAACTGAATTAACGTGCATGGTAACACACAAACCAACACTCAAAAACTCGCCGGTGAAAACATAACCCCCGCCATGCCCCTGGCGGAGGTAACAAACAATATAGTGAATTAACGCGGATGTATCTGTGATCGAGCCACGAGCGAATTGCGTGCACGATTTGTGTGATGCAATCAGGATCCGGCGTGCCGGAAATGTGCCAGCGGCGCGATCCGCTGACACGGATGATTTTACTGAGTCCGATCGGTCATGTCGAGCATTCTTCGAAATTGATTTACGTGTTTTTATCGGAGCTCTGCGCTGGCACTTTGACACGGTACCTGCTATGAAATGCGAAGTGTCTCGCAACCACTCACACTCAGGAGGTTGTAAGTGGTAATAGTTTCGAAGGGGAGGGGGGTGTTTCGCCCGAATCATATTGAGTCACGACATTTCCCGGCTAAGTGTGATTCCGTTGGGCCCCAGGGGCGTACCTGCGAAGAATAGCGCCTATGGCGAGCACTGAAATTGCGTCCCTGTCCAAACATCTGACACCCATCTTTTAGATAGCTTTACTATAATATACAGGGACTTAGCTAGCTAAAACGTGTGTGTGGGGAGGGGGTCTTAGTTCTACAGCTGTGGACTGTCATATTATAGACACATAGGCTATGGCGGCAAAGCGGCCCGCGCTAACGCGCGCCGCTAAGCACGATGCACCTAAGGGGGTCTGGGCGTCCTCCCCCCCGAAATTTTTGAAAATTTAATGGCTCGAGCCAGGTGCGATTTCCCAGCACTTTGAAATAGTATTTTTAGACATGAATTAATGGTTTTTGAGTAACTTTTTGCCACATAACTGACTTATGGACCCTATTTCTCGAGAAAAATCAGTTTATATCCTCAAATCTCAATTTAGCTGTCATTGATTTGTAAATTGATTTAAACTAATTTAGTGACGGTCACATTGACCCGGTTTAAACGGTTAAAATATCAAACGTATTCTCATGTGTTGAGTAAATGATGTTATGTGCGCATGCGCTGGCTCGATATACCCGATTCTGTGCATGTTGAATAAGGTTATAAACATACACGGAGTTAGTCATGATTTCAGCATAAATCCGATTCATGTGCGATATTTGCGTTGGCCAAAAATTTGGCGCACGGCATTTTTCTCTATATTATAGTCGATGTGATCTTTACGAAATCCAATTCAACATTATGATCATGTAGAATTTACGTGTTGAAATCGCATATTGAATACCGACGTTTTAGTTTTACAAAAAATATTGGAATAGACTAGAGATACCGGATATGAATTCGCCGCCTGTACTACACGACAATCACGTCACATCACAGACACGTCAGCTGAGATTAAACAAACCACTATTCACATCGTAATATAGTTGGTCGTGTTCGAAATAGTCCTTCGCAAAATCATTCTTCCCACGTATTTAATTACGATTCATTATTGAATAGCTTACCTGTTCGTAGCGAGCGTGTATAGTTGTGCACCTGCGTTCCTATCTACCTACCTAGCTACCTGCCTGCCTGTCTGCCTACCTATCTACCTACTTACCTACCTACCTACCTACTTACCTAGATATCTACCTATCTACCTACCTACCTACCTACATACTTACCTACCTACCTACCTACCTACCTACCTACCTACCTACTATATAACAGCGATGCGCGGGGAGACGCCGCCGTCGTAAGAGAACGGAGAGGTCTCTCGGTAGCTGACTGCTGCCTGCCTACGAGAGAGAGATGAAGGAAAGAGCGAGAAGCGAAGAAGAAGAGAGCAGACGAGGAGACGAGACAAGAGAGAGAGAAGAGCTGAGAAAGCAGAGAAGGAGAGAGAGAGAGAGAGAGAGGGAGAGAGAGAGAAGACGAGAGAAAGCGAGAGAGAGGAGAGAGAGGATTGCGACACACGAGGTGCCTTTCACATTTCATTGAAGACTTCCTGCCGCCGTTTTTCGCGGAAAACTTGTTTCTACCTGAAAATTTAGGCGTTGTCAGTTTTTTTTGTGGTTCGTGTCTGTGTGAAACAGCGTCAGTGTAAAGTGGCAATAAATGCCATATGAGCCTCTTCTCTCTCTCTGCTCTCTCTCTCTCTCTCTCTCTCTCCTCTATCTCTCTCTCTCTACTCTCTCTCTCTCTCTCGTCTCTCTCTCTCTCGCTCTCTTTTCTCGTCTCGTCTCTCTTCTTCTCTCGTCTCCTTCGCTCCCCCTCTCTCTCTTCTCTCCCTCTCTCTTGTCTCCTTTCTCTCTCTCTTTCTCTTCTCATTACTCCTCTCTCTCTCTTCATTCTCTCTCTCTCTCTCGCGCTCTTTCTCCACCGTATCGCCAATGTTGTCGCTGAGCTTGTTCACCGGCAAACGTGCGTCGTAGCCGCGTTAGAGAGCAGGTAATTATAGAAGAGGAAAGAGACGGAAGAGTAAAAAATCGGCACAAATCTCCGTTATCAGTGTCTACTGGTGCTATTCGGTGTTGTTTCAATCGGCTATTCTGATCGCTCTGCTCTGTAAGCAAGGTGATGCGCAGTGGTTTAGTGGAGCATCGTAATAAATTCCCGTGTGGCAAACCCCCCATGGACACGGGCATGATCTAAGCTTGGACACACACTAGGAGCGCATTTTTGCATCGCGATTATCGGCGATTTTCTCCGCGCTGAACCACTAAACACTCGGACGCCACTATGAGACACTAGTCTATAAAACATATTATTGAAGTCACGTGATTGAAATTGCCACCGTTTGATTGGCTGACTGAATCTGTACATTCTGGGTGACTCATTTCGCCGACCCGAACACACTGGCGAATTGTAGTCGCGCGATTCAAATAATCGCCCGGATTTTATCAAACATGTTCGATTCGGGCCAACCGGCGTCGGCAGGTCCGCACCATCGAACGTGCGCCGCACCCCGTAATCAGGGTTCACTGCATAACCTGGCTCGGATTTGACCCTTATTGTCTATACGCGAGGGTAAAAAGACTGGACATTTACCATGATGGTTTGGTCTATTACCTATGCTAGAGTGTGCTCGGCCCATCACCAGAAGGGGAGGGCTCGAATTCGAACCGGGGCTAACTATAGGAAGCAATCTCAGGAAATGCTTTCACTACGTAAATGGGAAGCTTGAAGCTAGTCATAGGAACTACTCGCTTAATTTGACAGTAGATTCGTTTATATTTCTACTCGTTCATTTCAGAGATAAATACCTGTTTGTTAGAACGCTGCGTGATCGATGATATGCGTGAACGAGATTTAACGGCGATGATCTACAACTACTATGCTTAATCGTTAAGTTCGACTTTTTGCGCCATCTCAATTTCGTAAAATAACTGTTAATTTCAAACAACCAGCTGCGCGTTTTAGCTTACATCATCACGTCTGTAAGTATAAGTGCTCATTCAAAAAATGGCCAATTCTGGGCAATGCCATTTAATCGTGCACATCGCAACACTATATTTAGCGTTCCAAAGCCGCGCTCGCTAGCCGTGGTTTGCCGATTATCATATCACCAAGGCGCTAATAATCCCAGACAGTGCCTTTGAGTGCCCCTACTCCTGCAATTACTCAGCAATACCTCATTATACCCCGGTTGCTCTGGTTTCCTCGTGAATTTTTCGGCGACCAACTTATATAACATTCATTCACGTATTATTAATATATTTACATCTGTTTAACGGGCGGTATCTTACTTTTTTGAGCTCTTTCTCGCTCTGCCTCTCTCGTCCTCTCTCTCTCTTCCTCTCTCTACTCTCTTCTCTCTCTCTCTCTCCTTTCTCTCTCTCTATCTCCCCCTCTCTCTCTCTTCTCTCTCTCATCTCTCTCTCGTCTCCCGCTCTCATCTCTCTCTTTCGAGACACAAGAAATAACTGTTGGCATACCTTGAAAGACAGTATATAGCTGACGTCGATTCTCGCGTCGGCAGTGTGTTTGTGTGATGTAGGCGTCGACACGATCGCCGGCCTATCTTGCGTGTCGCAGATCTGTGTGTGTGCGCGGTGTGGGGTATGTGTGTGTGCTGTCGTGTGTGACCTCGCGACGGTCGTGTGGTGTGTGTGTATGTGTGTGTTGGGCTGCCCCGCTCCAGGCGCGCTGTGTCTGC